AACTTCTTGAAAATTACACCCTCCTGTCAAGAAAATAAAATATTCTATTGTTGTATGATATAAATCTAATAGAATTGAATGTTTTTTCAGGTATTCACAAGTCCTATGGCCAGATTGAACTTCTAGGAAAAGGACACTGTATTTCAGTCTTTACAACTTCAAGCTCTGTTTCAATATTTTATGCACATGAATTCCTTGTCAAAAGTACTGATCATCCACATCTACAATCTAAAGTGTAAAGTGCACATTTTCCACATTTGAAGACTGTCCTAACACAGTTTTCTTGTCAATACAGCAGTAAAATAACCAAGAACAATTACAAAATGTGATAACTTAGGTATTCTTTAAAGACTGTAATGAGCGAGCGTGTCTCAGACTAGTCTTTTTCATCTTATTTGGCCGTGAGGTACTGCAGGATATTTCAAACATTTCTATAACTGCATTTATTGCCTGTTTCCAAGGGCTTACTTTTCAAAACATTATCCTACCAAAATTTTTTAAATTCCCATTTGAGCCTCATAATACATTGTCGAGAAGTTAGTGTAATGCACATAGGAAGCAGAAGGAGAAAAAGAAAATGTACTTTTCATATAACATAAACTTTTCAAGATACAGCTAGGCAAAGCTAGAATAAGAGAAAATCAAAACATACTTTCAGTGTCCATTAAGATAAAACATCTGAATTTATAGGAGATTCCTGTCTGATTATAATGGCACACACAAAATTAAATACATAAATATTAATTTTATGTATCACATAAGAAGAAGACAATGAAAAAAACAATGTTTACATTTATGGTTGACTCATTAGTGTTTTATTATGTGAAACACTAGGAGGCATCAGTTGGGCAAAAAAAAAAAAGAGTTCTTCTTTTGAAAAATGGTAAGAAATTAGCATAGAAGTTATCAGCTTGGAAGTTTCATACTTCCAAATGTTAAAGGCTGTATGTTATAAGTATATTATGCAAATAGCCGAAACTCTGTATTCTCACTGCTAAATGTCATATTTATTAATATAGGGACCACAATTAACGTCCTAACTATTTTCAAACTAGACTACTCTGTTCACATACGCAACACAAAGTATAGTTTTACATCACATTATGTTTTTAAAATAACAGAATAGAGGTAAACTAAGATGACTTACTTGTTCCTCTATTATTATACTTCTTGATAAATCTGCAAAGCCCTGACATGTTTTATGCACTTTCCTCTGCACATAAGCTCTTAACAGGGTAAGTGCAGTGAATTTAGTATAGTCCTAGACACTTTTAAGAACTTGTAATTGTTATTATAGGATATCAGCTAAGCAAAAATATTTTTTAAAAATCCCAGGATAAACATCTACTACATTTTAAACACATTTACCAAAAGCGGTGAATTAACCAGCATTTAAAAAAATCTGTATACAATGCTACAAGTGGCTCTAACTTTTACTATAAAGTCATATGAAACCAGTAATGACAAAATTGAATTTTCCTTCCTTCAAACTGCATTTAACAATGACTAAGCAACAGAGTTATAGTTGTCTTATAAAATACTCAACTGAAATTGAAGTGTGCCTTGCCATGCTGCAGCAATCAGCTTTTATCTCTGCCCAATCAAAATGACATGTGAACTGCCTAATCCTTCTTTTGTAAGGCACATAAGACTTTGTTGTCACTGTTGGTTTTGTGAATCGCCTCTATAAGCTGGTCTGATTTCCTAAAGATGACAGATCCTAGTGAATAGACAAGCTCTACTGCACTGCGGTCAATGAGACAGTGAGATTAAAGTGGAGAGCTGAAGACACTAGCTTCTAATCACCTGTCGACATGCAACATTGACCATCAGTTCTGAGAAAATTATCTTAAAGCTCGTCAGAGGACCCTACCTGGGTCCTTCTAAAAAGAGAAAATTAAAAAATTCAGTTTTGCACTTGCACCATCAGTTGCGTATGCTGACCAGAGTTCTTCTAAGCCCATTTTGTTTCTGAAATAAAATGCAAAACTGTGTTTTCACCCTTTTCAAATACCAGAATACTAACCCTACTATTAAGCCTGAAGTTTTCTAGCTGATTGGAATTACGTATATAATTTTTTTGTATTTTATACCTAAGTCGCTATAGAGCCTAAATGAGGATGTAGCAAAATCTCTCTGCTGATATCAGACAGCAAAATTTAAAAATATTAAAATACATCACAAACATAACTGCTTCGGTTATTCTTCAAAATGCTGAAGCAGAAACTACAAACTCCTTGAAATTATATAGTACCTTATTTATGTTCATCTTCATAATCAGTGTTTTCAAAAGAATACCACTACACCTTACTTGATTTTTGGATAAATTATCATGTAATTTACAATAATGATGTCCAACAGGTAAAAATGGAGTCTATGTATCAAAATCCAAATGCTTTTCTTTTGGGCACCTAATAGCAGTTAATGACTTCTTGCTCAATGAGATGTAGAAATATCCTTAGCTGTCTCTGAAGATGAACTGAACTGTTCTGGCGAACAATAAATTAACCTGTTACAGAGAAAGGTAAAATTAAAAGAAATGAAGTTGGCAAAAGTATTCTGTTCACAACTCCTGCTCAGTTCCGAAGATTGTATGTAGTTACACTTATCTGCTAAATAGTGAGCTATCAAAATCTGTCAGAGGTAAACTTTTAGAAAAAGCATCAGAAAGCTTAATTTCTCTATACTATTTTAGATGTTTTAAAAACCAGAACCGTTTAAGGAACGCATCCCTCCGTTTTTGAATATACATGTTGCAGGTACACAAATTAAGAGTGGTTACCAAAAAACAAAAGAATTTTTTTCTGATTCTACACTGAAAGAAAATTCACACTAAGAAAGCATTTGTATGAATTTTCTTATCATGCTCTAAAACCAGCAGCTCGGGAACATAACTCTAAAAAACTTAATCTCACAAACTATTCAGCATTTAGTACCAATTTCTATACGGCTCTTAAGCCTAAATTTCCTTTTTTACTGGTCATCTTAAGGGGATACAGACATATCTGATTCCTGCACTCATTTATAGGACATTGAAAGTGACATTCTTTACATCCCTGTCCTAAGGGAGCTATGGGACACTCAAGAGGCTTAGGTCTCCTAGGGGCCTGATCCTGTGAATCGTTATTCCTGTGACTTGTTCGTTTTCACACAAGTAGTCTCAGCGTTGTCAGTGGGACTAGCTGTTTAAGTACTGCTTGCATGAAAGAAGGTTTTCATGTTCAGGTACCAGAACTATCTTCTCATACTAGCTAAGTTAGGCATATTAGTTAAAAATGTATATAAACAGCAAGTTTTTGAAATAGAAGAATGCATACTACAAGGAAAATAGACACCCTGAACTATGGGCCATTCTCTTAAGTTCTTCTTCAAAGAATTTTTCCATTACTTCCAAAGGGACTTAAGTGTGAGCAGAGACTTCAGTATTAGACTCAATATGAACGACGTACCCATTAACAGAGAAAGAATAATATAATAGGTATTTTAATAAAACTGATAAAGTAAGAAAGTCTGGCGGGTTTTTTGACTTGACATTAGGTACCTAAAATTGTGTAACAAAAACAGTTTACAGAATAAAAAATACCCAAAGTGGCCATTTGCCTGAGCGTTTGAACTGGAAATCAGTATGTATGTAATACAGAGGTTAGAACTGGTTCACAGGTGGTTATATTTCCATGCCCTGCCAAGCCTCTAGGGATTAGAGTTATCATACTCCATATAAACATCTTTACTTTTCAACCACAATACCCAGGAAAGTGCCAATAAAAGAAATCTAGTCACTTTTGCATCTAATATAATTGGTTTATCATCCATCTTGCAGTTCTTTTAAAGTGAAGGTATGAAACTAGGACATTTGCCATTAAGCTGATTGTCAGATATGTGCTAGGAAAATGCATTTTGTGTCAAGACGATTCTTTCCTGATCCCCAGGAAAATGCTGGCAAAGTGCCTTCCTCTGCTTAATTCTCTTAAATCTTTGGTCTTAAGTTATGTATTGCAGTATTTAATTTCAGGATACAGGTATTTGCTAATAATAATTATTATATATGATAAAGAAAGTAGAACTCTGCTATAAAAGACAATGCTTAGGTTCCCACACTGATTCACTAAGTGTTGTTTTGCATTATGCTGCCTTTTTTTTTTTTTTTTTTGCAAAGGAATTATTAGCTTGTCTTTATACTTGTTTTGTTTCTCAGGCTGATAGAAGGTCACACCAAGTTTTATGGGAAATGCTAAGTATTACAGTTACATAATGCACAAATAGTCTTATAAGTCTCTCATTTACATTAAACTTTATCTTAGCCTCTAAGTAACTGCCCTGCAACTAAACCAGCCAGTTTTGTAAGGCTGATCAGCTCTACTCTCTTGTGTTAAAAAATGTAGAGATTACTCAAAGTACTAGGAAAAGACCAAAAGCATACTATTCCAAAAGAGGTTTGCAGCCCATGATTTAAATTCCCACATCAGTGCAAGGGGTCTTTCCACCTCAGATGTAAGTATTGAAATGAAAGGTGCACAAAGTTAAACACTTGCAAGCATGCATTACCTGAACTCAAGAACTGAAGAGCCTATGATACAATGAAGTTTAAGAGCATTTCAGTCAAACTGGATTGCTTCCTTAGTCTGATAAAGCAGGGTCGCAAGCACTGCAAGGTCATAGCATTTGGTGAACTATTCAAATCAAGTAAGCTTTGAACACTTCACAGTATCAGGCACACAAATGATGTAAGCTAACTCCATAAAAGTTTAAACACTTACACCACCAATAGAGACAATCAGCAATAATTTCCTAGGCAGTGATTTAACTATGTTACTTGTCTAAAAAGTTACTTTTAAGCAATTGACAGCACACCCACACTCTCAAAAAGTCTGCAAGCAACCTCAACCCCAGTCCACACACAATGACCGATGCATTCTTCAAACGCCATGGGAAATGTACAGAGGGCTTTTGTACCATGCCCACTATATTTTACTCCGATGCTGAATTTGACATGTACTTACATTATAAACATTTAGCTGAGTGGATGATCAGACTAGTCCTTGAGATATTTTCCTTTCATAGGAAAAAGAAAAAATCCCTTTACTTCTTCCAGCCTTAAGTATTCACCACCTGGTTCAACATGCAGCCTCCTTGAATCACACACACAACCTTCAAAGTCAATCCAATAAGCAGCCAGGAGATGTCTGGGGTGTGTGTATGTATGTGTGTGTGTGTGTGCTTGCGTGTGTGTGCAGCGTGGAGGAGGAGAAAGTGGCTGAGCTGCTGGTCGGATTAAAAGTAACCGGACTCGTCCCGAAAGCGTCCAGGAAGGAAGTGACAGCAGGCGAATGGGAAAAGGCGAGCAGCTCACTGCCTTTGTAACATCGCGGAGGGGAAGGGGGAGGCGAGGAAGGGGCTCAAACTAGACGCCTGAGGAGGTGTCCTTTCCTGCTTCGCTCCCTCGTCCTCCCTTTTCTTCTCCTTCTCCTTCTCCGTCTCTCTCTCTCTCTCTCCCCCACAATCCCAAACGAATGACTCTCTCCTCCCGAGCTGGAGAAATAATCAGTTTCACTCTTGCAAAAAGGGGGCGGGATCAGATCCCGCAAGCGTTTTAATAAAACAAACATAGAGCAGCAGCAGCGGCGGCGGCAGCTCCCTTCCTTGCCCCTCTAGTCTAAACTAGATTGATAAATTACTCCACTACACTACTTTAATTATGTATATGGTATGCAGAATAAATCACTGAACATCAGCACCTCAATCAAGCACTTTTTAAATGATAATTGCATCTTGGGTGAATCAATCTTTCCATTCCTGACATTTTGCTAATTTTAGTTTTACGGCGGGGGTAAATGGCACATGCCACACGCAACG